AATCTCAACGTGGACTGGACCCTGCTCTAATTTTATATACAGTCCCTATTGTCAGAGTGATACTTTCAGTATGTTTTTTCTCCCTATAAATAGACAGTTTCCTTCCAAAGGAAATGAAACTGTTTGAAATAGAGGGATCTGTGTTTCTTTGAAAATCACATGCAATTGTTCTTGTGTTATAAAATCAGAAGAGCCTTTGACAGAATTCCAAATGATTATCTTTAATCTCTGTCTCATAGAGGCATATTAAAATGAACACAAAGCCTTATAAATGCTGAAGTAGGTTATTTAGAATCCAATCTCCCTTCAGGTAAATTACAGTAGCAAAGACATCTGTGGTCTAGTGAGGATGCTCGAGGAATTCCTTCCATTTTCTTATCTGTGTTTTTATCAAATGATAGGCTTGATATCATTCTGAAGAGGCTGGTGTGGTCAGCAACAAAGTATTAACCTTATTAAAACTGTTATGAGCAGATTCTCAAGCAACATAAGTAACTGCATTCGATTTAAGCCCATTTATATCAGTTTGAGAAATGGTCTTCAGCATTGGACTTTTCCATAACTGTGTGAGCACACAGATAACTACAGATATCTTTTAAAAACTCTCACTTAGTTTTGTACCTGTTTTAGGAACTCTGTTTCCAAGGTCTCTTAAAAGAGATCATTGTTTCAAGGCTAGCACTTCGGGAGGGCTGATTCTTTTAATCTTTCCCAAAGCAAGCTAGTCCAAAATGAAGATACTTTGAGAGGTTTGTAGAGAAATATGCTGCCTAAATATTATTAAACCTGTTTTTCTTTGAGAGTGAAACATTTTTGCTTCAAAATTCACTTTTCTTCTACTTTGCATAAAAAGATGGGGAAATGTGGATTATATAATGCAATCTTTAACTGTTTTCGTTGAATAACCGTTCTTCCATCTGCAGTTGTGTATATATTATGATCTATTGAATCCAAGACAATACTTTCTTCGTCTAGTTTTGATTTTCTTCTGATGCTTCTTGGTGTTTTCTTTTTTGTGGATCCCACAGGGTCACCTCCACATAGCCCAGGTGCCTCAAGGCGAACAGGTCCAAATCACGCAGGACAGCGAGGTGAGCCTGGAGTTGGTGCCCGAGGAGCAGAGGCTGCTCCGAACCTAGAGGGCTGCTGAGAACAGTATTTACACTTCATAATTTTTAGCATAAAAACAGTTCATTGTAATGGAAGTGGATAAATCCAGTACTGCTACCTCCAATTTAGACTTCATTCACTCAGGCCAAACGAGCTTTAGAGCTAGTTGAGTTTACCCGGGTGAGAAAATTGCAGGTCCCTCCATATGTCAGCACGTCTGTAATAGAGACTCTTAACTGCAGAGGCTGCTGTCACCCTCTTGCACTGTTAGAGCTTGTTGACATGGAGAAGTAATAGCAAAATAAGGCCAAGCACAAGTACTGACTATAATATTTATTCTGCATGATTTAGATTCTGTAGAGTTTTTTTGTTTAACATTAAGCAAATCTACTTGTGGGTTAGTTTAATCCATTTGTACCTTAAGTGAAGTCCCATAAAAGCACTTTTGGTGTGGAAGGATACTGTTAACAGAGAGCTATTGCAGAATGAACATTAGAATAAATATTATAGAAATATTATCTTTAAAGGCAATCTGCTTTGAAGAACTTGTCAAAGCTGAAGAGCAATAGGAATAGGTCAAAATGCTGTGGGTCTGTGGGGAGCTCCAGGGAGCTCCAAAGAGGCTGCAGCAGTTCTTGGGTATTCACCATGGTTTTAAAGAGCCACTGAAAAAAAATCTGATTCAGCAGATACTCGTAGTAGTGATTTTGAGGTTCAAATGCCCCCATATTTATGGGCTTTTTCAGGAATTCATGTATGTAAGAATTGTAAGGTCTGCATTTGTTCATGACAGATGAAAACATCTGTTTTTAAATGTGTTCCAATGTACACAGCTTCAGAAAAGAGGAACTCTTGCCAGTAAGAGCAAATGTAGAAAATACGAAAATCAAAGAATTGGTGATTTTCTTCAAAGAATTTTGAAACTTCACTGCAAGTCTTAGTGCTTGAGAAAACTTCCTTTTCTTCATCTAAATTACTTTTAAACAGACAGTTCTGAGCATAGAATAAAAAGCTAGTTTTGTAGTGATACTGCTTTCCTTCTCAGATTTTTTAGTTACAGTTTCCTTTAAAATAATTTTCACAATTGAGAATGTTTTGTAATAGATGTAATTCTGATAATGGAATGATGTTGACATTTGGAGTTCAATTTTGATAAAAGTCTGTTAGTGCAGATGATAACTTTGTAACAATAAAATAGCAAATAGCATTCATACATGTAAAAAAAGATGTACAGTTCTAATTGAGAAAGAATTTGACTTATATTTGCAGTTTCAGATAAATGAGAGAAAATTAAGAAAAGAAAAAAAAGGCTTACTTCAGAAGTCATACAAAAGTACTTTATCCTCTATAATAATACCTCTCAAAAAGTAAAAGCTACCGATGCTGAAAAACTTTACTGTTTTTTAGTCTATTCCTCCTTTGTGTTTAATGTGCAGGCAATATAGCTGAATTTTCAAAAAAAAAAAAAAACACCTTCAGAAAAATTTTCTAAATGAATAGATTCCCTTAACTTTGAAATAACTGGCTAATAATGAGATGAGAAACAGGTTGTTTTAAGGACAGTTCTTTTGGAGAGCAAATTCTGAAATTTCCAAGTGCTTATTGTCACTGTTTTGCTTCTACAGGGAAATCTACAGATACATCAAGTTCACGTTGGTCAAGACGGGCAGGTAGGAACTGAACTGAGTTTTAAGCAACGTTTAACTTTATATAATTAATTTTGCAGCTGCTATGACTTCACATTATTAGTGGTTGTTTTAATAAACAAAATCTGTGTTGGTCTTTTTGTTTACATAAACAAAGCAAAATGATAAAAAGTTAAGCCAAGTATTTTGTCTATGGGCTCAAAATATTTGACCAACTTATTTCATTCCCCCTGCAATATGCTTTATTGCTGTTTTATACCTTCTTGTCATTGACCTCCTTGGTCTCAGGTTCAGTAACTGGATTGACTATTTTGTGTACAGCATGTTCCTTTCCCTGTTATCGGCTGTCACTGGCCAGATGTGGATGCAATCTATTGCAGTCTATGCAAACACAAGAACATTTATTGCTATGGTTTAAGCAGTTATTTTTTCATTATATGGCTGTCTAGGGAGGAACAGATCTTTCACATCTGCTTTTGTTCTTTTTGATAAGATGGCTTTATTAGGTGCTTATGCATGCATGAGGTAAGAAAAGGCAAGTTTTTATTCTGAGTGATGAGTCAATAAATGTTTAAATTAGCAGAACTTCCTTGTCAGGTGTCACCAAAATTGCTGACATCTGATCTCCAACACCCTTCGCTAAATATTAAACTATATTAAAACATCCATAGCCAAAATATTTCTGTAAGAGGTTGCTTCAGGAAAGTTGTTATGTTTTATTTTTTGTTCATGTTGAATGTTAACAAGCTGTGAGACATATGGCTAGGGCTTGAATGCTGCCCTGCATTGACAAGACTCACATCACCCACTTGACCTTGGAAGCCTTGAGAAGCTAGTGGTGCTCTGAACTTTTGACTACAGACAGTGTCTGGAGAGGGGGAGCAATCTAGATGATATCAAAGAAACAAAAAGCTTTCGAAAATGTTCATTATTGAGACTTTAATCAGAAGTACTTGGTGCAGAAGTCAGACTTGGAGAGGTGATTTTCTGGAGATGTCCCAAACTGTTTTAGAGCTTATTGTGATTTATTTTTTCTGTGTAAGATACTGCTGCCCAAGTGACATCTTATTGGAAGATTAATACAGAGTGGCATTATTTCTCTGTGAAATTGTGTGGATTCACTTGCCTTTTTTTTTTTAATTGCAGTCTAATACTATTACTTTTCTCCTTGAGAAACTTTTTCATAGTGAAGAGGACAGAACACCATTAACTGTGCCACAGAGTGCATCTCTCTACTTTGCTAAATAGAACAAAAGAGTATAGTTGAAAACAGTGCAAGCTGAGGCTATTTTTAATGGAAATACTTGGATGAGCACATTTTCCTGACAACACCCGTGCTGGGCAGGGAACGGTGAGTCCCTTCATAAAAAGGCAGCACTCAGCAGTTTTCCCTGCTAAAATAGTTCTGGGGCTCCCTAATCCCAGAAGCCTGGAAACAGAGTCTTGCTGATCCGACTATTTGCATGAATATGGGCAGAATAAGGCCACGCTGGAAAAAAGGTCTTCTGAAATATTTATAGGTAAATGTGCTTATACATGTGTATGTGCATATATATGGATCCATGATGTATGTTCACTGAGAAGTGTATGTGGGAAATCTAAGTTTCTTATGCATTTTGTCTTTTTTATTTTAACTAACTGGACTCTGGACCCTGCTTTTAATTTTTGTTGAAAACAAATGTGAAACGTTATTCTTTTTCTTAAAGCACTGCATTTTAGTGCGAAAGAGCAACTCATGTGAATCAGCAGCCCGGCGTTGTCGCACTTGAGCTGCCATCTGGGCCAATTCCCAGGAGCTGCTGAGCTCTCCCAAAAGTATTTGCTGCTTAACTATTTTCCAGTAGATCAAGAAACACAAGCAAGCGAGCAAATATTTAGTGGATATTATCTCCATCCTTAATTAGACATTGAAACCTTCATCAGCAGTTTAAAAACCACTTTTTTGCACTAAAGGGATGAGTAGCCCTCACATGATTCCTTCCAGCAGCGCCGAGTGCGAGGGGTTGCAAGGAGGTCTGTGGCTGCGCTGGTTTCTGCTCATCAGCTGATCTGTGTTGTGACCGTTTTTTGAGCTTTTAGCTTGTGAAAATTGCAAAAGAAAATGAGTTAAACTAAGCTGTGCTTGTGGTTTTAGAATGGAAGTTCAAACTAATACATTTTCCTTGGCGCTTGCAGTGGGATAAGAGCACAAAAATCTGTCAGATGATATGCTCCAGTGGAAATGTAAGTCATAACAATCCGGGAGTTTGCAATCATCTGTACGTGACCTCTGATCAAAAAGACCTTTGTAGCTTTCACACCTGTCCATTACTTTGGAGAGAGTGGCTTTTGCTGCCTTCTTTTAGGAACTTTAATGCACCTTTCCAAGGGACACTGAAGGACACTCACAAGAAGTGAATACTTTGTCTCTTCCAAGACTTCATTCAATTACTGAATGTTCTTCAAGACCAGCCTGTACTTGTTCATGGTGGTAGATCTTATCTCAGCTACTGGATATTCCATTTGAGAGTTCAGCTTGTGCTTCTGTGTCTCACCTAGTGCAGTGCAGGTGTTCCGTGGGTTGGGATGAGGTTTGGTACCGCTTCCTGACCTGGGCTGTCACTCTGAATTGCAAGGAAAAGGCCGTACAAGAAACGGGGGCTGCAGTGCACAAAGCTATTAACCTAGTGTGAGCTGAAACAGAAGTGACGTGAGGCTACTGGAAAGCTTCATCAGTAAACTTCCAAACTGAAAGATATATTTTAAGTGTCCTAACAGTGATAATTGTAGCTTTTCTGCAGAATGTTGCTAGCAGTTGATTTTTTGGGTGATGTGTTTCTTCTTCTTCTTCCCTTTTTTTTTTTTTTTTTTTTCTCTTTAAATTCTCTGTCCTGGTAGTTGCACTGAATTTAGATCATGTTTTTCTGGCATCATTGCTCGTGGAACTAGTGAAATCATGCCAGAAAGCGCTCGCTCTACCTACACATGTGTTCTATTAGCTAAACCCTGTATTTCAATGCACGTTTAATAAAAATACCAACCTGCAAAAATAATTAGGCTTCATATTAATATTGGAAGCCTTGCACCAGTGGGAATTTTTTGGTACTTGGCATTTTATACTTGCAGATTACCAGGCATTTTCTAATTTGTCCCTTTCTTTGCACTGATTGTGCACCCTCCTTTCTCCACAGCTCCCTCCTTTCCTCCCTTTGCTGAGCTTCAGCATTAACGCCTAATAATAATTAATTAACACCCAGAAGGTGTTAAACATACGAGCCCTGCCCAAGACAGGTTGAGACATTGCTGACGTGTTCAGAAATAGCCATGTTGTGTAAAGCAGCAGCAGAGGACAAGCTCAGCAGTGTGACCTTCGCTGCCATCAGGGTCAGACGTCACATTTTGCACATCCTAAAAGCCACCCTTTCTCCATTGTAGAAAGTAATTAAAATCACACCAGACAAATGGTCTTCAAATGCTTTTTAAATCAAAAGTTAACACGCTTTAAAATAGGAAGCTCAATTGTATACGTTCCTAGAGAGCTGACAATTTGTTCTGCTCGATTCTGCTTGATGAATAAATATTTTGACTAATAAGAGCGTTAGTTCACTTAGTCTGAAGCATCAATCATCTGTTAGTAACAGTTAAAAGCTTGGGAATTTAGAACAGTCTCTATGATATTTTTAGGAGGAAAAAAAATAGCAACTGTAAATTGCTCTTTTAGTATTACTGTTATTACTGTGTGTGCTTATACACACACACATACACATGAACATATATATATGAAATAAGAACATACAATTGCTTCTGGTATATTGCCTTTTTTTTTTCTAAAATAAACCTGACATTTTAGGCATCTGTAGATACGTCTTTTCCAGGGAAGTTTTTAATCACTACAGGACCCACCTGTAGACTGTGAAGTTGCATGCACAGCGAGGAGGAGGAGGATGACCCTAATGACAAACCCTTCTGCTGCTCCCCGGTGAGGCACATGGAGGGGTGGCTGCAGTATCTTTTTCTGAAGTTTTACTCTGCCTTCCAGAGTAAAATGCATCCTTATTGTAACTGCTGGCTTGGTCCAGGTGTAAGGACTGTGTGAGAGGACAGGAACCCTGACCAGAAATGATATTTCTGGAGCTTGCTGAAGTGGTGCTGGAGAGAATATCAGCTGGATAGTGCTGGTAAGGAGCAGGTAGCTGCTGCTGGGCTTTGAGGGAATATTTGTGTGTGTGAGATAAATACATTGAAGTTTGTGTCAGTGTCTTCAGGAAGAAGCAGGGACCTGCTGCCTGGTTCCGATGGGTTTTCCGTGCACGTTGTGTGCGCCCAGTGATGGAGCTCAGGAGCAGGGGGGACCTCGTCCCCTGTGTGTGACCGTCGCTCCTGGTCCTGGCCCGTTCGCTGTGGTTGGGAGCAAAGGGCCATCTGGTAACCGTAGGGGAATGGAAAAGGGGGAAAAAGGACTTCAGCTGCTTAGCCAAGAAACCCTGCTAATTCTAGTAATTCCACATAACATCCAGTGGATGTTATTGAGGACTGGATCACACTAAAATGAAACTTGGCTTCTTTATGGAGGAAAATACGTACAAACCTATGGAGTGTTTTAAACTCCAGCTTCTTCATCTCTCTACACCTATTGTAATTACTGAGATATTTGCACCTTGCTTCCCAGTGAGAGAAAGCATGATTTTCAGTTAAAAAAGCAAAAATGAATTGACAGGTCCATTCTACTTGTGTTCATTTTTTTTGTTTATTTTGCATGTATTATTTCACTGGAGAAAGAAAACCAATATATTTTCTGAATATTTAATTGCCTTTAGTAATCCTTTTTTTTTTTAAATACAAAACAGCAAAAAGAGCCATCTTAAACTGTTCGTATTTTCAGATAAAAGTTGTAGTTAGAAAGTCCTAGATTTTACAACACTACAATTGTTTATTAGATCTCAGTCAAGAAGGAATTGCGCACCGGAGGGTTTCTCCCTATTCTCCGAGCAGCAGAGGGCAGCAGGACTAAGGTGACCGTCAACCGCATCCCCAGCCGAGAGCTTCAGGAGGCCAGGAGGGAATTTGCAGCGGGAGAAGCGGCGGCGGCTCCGCCGGGAGCCCCAGGGCCGCGGTGCCCCAGGCCGGGCGCGTTGGCAGCGCCGGGGTTGGCACCGCGCGCCGGGACAGGACCCTCGCTGGGCGCCGGCTGCTGCGGCGCTCCGAAAGGCTCTCCTGATCCTGCACATCTGCTTTGGATAACACACACACAAACAGGCTCGTTAGGAGCAAAACAACCAGAGGAAAAGCCCGATATGGGACAGCTGGAACTTCGAAACCGCTAGGCTGCTTTTAAAAGCTATAGAAATGTTTATCTCCAACTGAGACATCTTTGATAATAGATTGTATCAAGTCTTGCAGGTCTGCTGTATTTTTAGGAGCAAAAATAGGGAGCAGGAGTTTTGAAATAAATTGTGCTTTATGGAAGCTTGAAACAGAAGTTAGTATCCACTTAGTCTTCCTAGAAAATAAGGCTGCTTAAGATCCTTCAGTGTGAGCATTTTAAGTATGAGGTTTTTTAATTCCTGCTAGTCCTTTATGCACATAGAGCCCTTACTGTGGCATCCACACAGGAGGTGATCTCCACTTTCAACTCTGTTCCTCAGAATAATGTAGAGCCTCAGCGCTCGCCAAACATTTAAATCAGAAACATTAGTCCAGTATTTAAGTTAAATGGAAATTTTAGTAAACTAAAAATGAGAAAAATTTTAAAGCAGTTGAGTTTATCAAGACATAGAGTTAGGATTAAAGTTTAGGGAAAAAAACTACTACTTATGTGAATAATAACATATGAAATATACCTAGGAAAGCAGATACTGTATTAAAAACAGTAAGATAGCTTTGTGTTATTAAAGAGAGGTAATTACTAGAAGAGGTAAAAAGAACTAATTTAGGTATATCGTGACTGCAGAATTGAAAATGCATGCATTTGCTTACAGTTCATCAGAAGTATGCACCTTCTTTGTCATCGTAAAGCAGGGTAAGACGCTGTCCAGTAGGAGAGTAACTCATCCCCATGGTCTTCATGATCCTGTGCAAGATTCCTGAAACAAATCTGTGCAAATTGTTTACTGCTGTGCATTTGATTTGACGATGGCACAAGGAAATTCCTCTCCCCCAATATGGAGATAGTGCGAAGGAAAATATAATGCTGTAATGGCAATCAACCAAAACATTACAAATAGGAAAAAAATAGAGGAGAGGAACTGCTGCTTAGGAGAGATTAGTGGGAAAATGTGCTTTCTGTGGTTACAGAATGCAAAAATAATTCCGATATTTGACAGAAATTGCCAAATGTTTTTTAGTATATAGCACAGTTTATCCATTTTCAGAGAAAAATAGTGATTTAGAAGCTCACTATAAGTCAACAGGACATGCTCTATAAATCAGTTATCATTTTGGAAAAAAACAGCAATATTGCAAATTCAAGAATTCTGTGTTGTTTGGTAAAGACTAATTCTAGTGCATTTGTGCTTTTTAAAAAAAACTATCTGTGTGTCTGAGTTGGGCAATCCTGCCTTCCGCTGTCCTGGAGAGCCTGGACCTGAATGTGCCCCCTCATAATAATTAATATACGCACGTGTCTGTTGAGTCTAATTCTATTTTTGTCAGCGTTAATTACATAAAATGTCAGAAATGAATTATTAGGTGGCCCAGTTCGGTAATCATTGCAGCAAGCTGGGGCAGGTATTGAAAACCACCATGACTGGGAAAGCGGCTTCAAATTCAAGTTTTCTCTTTTTAGATTTTTAAAGGTGTAAAATTCTTTGTTTTTCTATGAAGACACTTAAGGGATGGAAAAGCTTCTGAATTTTTGCTATTTTAAAAAAATGTTCAGTTACTTAAATGTGATCGATAGTTTTTCTTCTTTTAGAGTTAGGAAAAAAAAAGTAAAAGACAGATGTCTCTGTTAAATTTTGGTTACCATTTCACATCCAGTAATTTTCAACACTATTTTTCGTTGCTTCTTGATACTTTGAAGATATTTTATAACTCTTCTTAAATCAAGATTATTTAAAAGGAGGGAGAGCCCTGGTGAATTTTCAGGTCTTGTAGAGGAGAGAAGGCCTCGCTGTTGTTTGTGCAGCTGATCTCTGCTTGGTGAGGATCGAGTTACTCGTCCTTCCGTTGTGATCTCCTGGTGCTCTTTGCTTCCTGGTGCCTGCTGCTGCCAAAGCAGCAGATCTTGAGCATCAGGCTGCAGCATTTACCCCCGCAGGCTTGGTTGGGTCATAGGTTTCATTAGCAGGTTGTCTGCATAAAGTTGTCTCCTCGTGCCAAAAGGCACCACTGTATTTGATAAAGAAAAGCAGTTGTATCAGTGTTTGCTTGCTGTGTCATCAAGAACAATGTCCCTAATTAGGCCAGGAGGGGCAGCGTGTTTCCAGCAGCCTGACCTGTGCAGTGCAGGCGCTGATCAGTTGTTCCACTTCCCACATGAAGACAGGTTCTTAGTGCAGTTTGCTGTGTCAGGATGCGTTGGTATAGAAAGGAGGGACTCTGTGAGGCAGGTTGGCTATTTGAAATTGAACCTTCCTCATCCATCAGAATGGACAAACATTGCGCTCTTGCCAGAGCACCTAACAAGGACTCCTGGAGTCCTCCCCTCTTTTCCACGTGTTTTTCAATCTTTCCCGAAACCACTGGCAAAGCAGACAAGATGCTGGGAGTTCATGGCCTGGGCAATGTGGAAAATGCACAGCTGTGCTTTGGGGGATGCGCCATGCTGCCAAGAAAAGGAGAACTCTCTTGGTTTGTGATACCTCAGGTTGTTCAGAGAAACCTTTCAATGGACGAGTGTTGATCCTGAACGTTGGATTAACTTGGTCGCTTTAAAATGTGAACTGAGAAGATGGTGGCCCAGGTTGCTCTCTCTCCCCTGGAACATGCTGACGTGCCTCGTGACCCGCGAGATAAAAAGTCGTTGTTTTACAAACTGTACAAGAAGATCTAAATGTGGACTTCAATTCCAGCTTAAGAATCCTAATGTCAGGTTTAAGGAATATGGGTCTCGTTCTGGAGGCTAATGAATCCTTTCTGCAAAACACTGATTGCTGTTCTGCAGTCTAGAGCTTCTTTAGGTCGCGTACACAGGTACAGTGGATGTAGATGTATCAAATTGCTGTGCTCTTTCTAACTTAAAAACTTGGCATTTCCTTCTGCTTTAATCTACCATTGTAATTCAGGAAAGCTGCAACAGAGAGTCATTATCGACCTGCCTTAAGCTGCCACCCGTCTCATCTTGCTAGCTTTTGTCTTCTGTAATTTGGGACCCAACCTACCTTTATACGCTACAAAAAGAGTCTCTGAAGGCAAGGTGAACAAAGCCTTCGGTAGCAAAATCCCCTCCCGTATTTATGGCCTCTTTTGGACACTTCAGCTTTTGGCAAAGTACAGCACGAAGGGAACAGCTTCACGTTAATAATAGAAGATTCCAGTTTGACCCCACTTTGCTGCTTCGTCTCGGTGACGCAGGTAAAGATTTGTTTTGGGAGCAAACAGTGAATTCCAGCAGATAGTTGGCTGTATGCACATAATATAGCGTCTGGGCTTTGAACACCGAGTTTCCTCTAGCCCTTCTCAGGACTTAGACATTATGTCACGCACCTATTTTTGTCCTCCCTTCAGCAGTCTCTGTTCCCAATACAATGTCTCTCTCAATGCCCTGCACAGTCCTGCACTGTTACCTGTCTCACATCACAGCCCCGGCTGTTTTCCTTTGGCCTGCTCAGCAAAGGCAGTAAAGTGCACAGAGGTATGTTGAAATCGGACAGTATTTTAATACTGATACATATTAACTGTTTGATTCCAAATGGTTTATTTCCATTTATAAAATTTTCTGGGTTATGAAAAAAATTAATGACGGTGATTTGTTAATATCTTGCAGATATTTGTTGGGTATAGACCCTCAGCGACAGAGTCCATAGAGCAGTGGTCTAGGGAGGTTATAAAGCCAGACAGATTAATGGGGGCTTTGGAGAAGGGCTTTTTTGCTCCTAAGAGGGTGGGTTGTGCCATTAAAATTCCATTCAAGCAGATGGGAGCATTTACAATGCTCCAAAGAATATGTTCTCTATTTTGGAGTATATTATCTTCTTTATTCACCCAAATCTTGTTTTAATATTGCTGTAAGCTTAATAAGAAAAGATGAGATATGAAGTGATAATCTTTTAAATATAAGGAAAAATAATTTTCTCCACCTTCGTAGAAGGCGTAGGTCTAAGCTGTATCTTATTAGAGATTTTGGTAATAAAAATCTCTGGTTGTAGAATAGCAGCCATCACAAAGCTATCTTGCTGTGCTCATCTAGAGAAATGATTTCTTTTTTGTTTTGTTTGTTTTTTTAGTGCTCTTCATTTCTGATTTGCTCATCATGTGATATGAGCGCCGTCGCTAGCTGCCGATCTGACCCCAGCACTGCTCCACCTCGCGTGTTCTAGCAGGTCCCTCCTCAGCCCTTGTAAATGTTAGGGATGCCTCTAACCTGCTCCCCTACCTTCCAGCATCAAATTCGGGAAGGGTTTCGGGAATTCTGGCACATCTGGCCGGTCGATGCCCTTGATGAGGTGACACCGGATCCATTAGTGCTGCTGCTCTTGGCTGGGGCCAGCTCTTTCCTTGCTGCTGGGTGACCCTGGTGCTTGTTGAGCAGTTGGACATGGAGAGACTTAGTTTCATCCTCATGTGAGCAGAGATGGGCACGTGCTGCCAAATTGTTAATGGCATCTCTAGCGTTCAGACAATTAATAGAATTGATTTTTCCACTGTGTCGAGCACAACAGTAAATCTGCTCTGTCAAAGTTAAGCGACCTGTAGGATCCGATGGTGTTCAGGATTATGACTTCTGAAGTCTTTTGCAGCAGATTTAAATGTGTGCAAACATGAAACAGTGCTTTTTGCCAGCTTTCCTATAAAATGGTGGGGTTTTGCAGAGTTTATGTTGGTCGCAGCAGCTGTCCCTTTTTAAAATAAGCCAGAATGGATAGTTGGCAAATAAAGAATCATCTGTCTTTTAGCAGAAAACCTATGTGATTTGCATAGTTTTCAGTGTTTTGACAAGCAAATATTAAACTTAGTAAGATTTGACCAGTTAATTGACTTTGAATGTCTATTTAATCCTTTCCATGGTTCCATCATTTTCAGTCCAGTTATTCAGAATCGTTAAAATATTTCCAACTAGCTGAGGGAGTATCTAATAAACTGAGAAAGGATGATCAAAAGACATAATGTTGTGATTTGTATGCTAACTTAGAAGAAGCCCTATAGGATAGTTCTCCAGTAGGAT